ACGTCTGAGGACGGGCTCTATCTCGTCCGATATCTGAGGGTTGGCTCCGCCTCACCCGATGTCCGAGGGCTGGCTCCGCCTCGGCCGACGTCTGAGGGTTGGCTTTGCCTTGCCCGACGTCTAAGGGTTGGCTTTGCTTCGCCTGATCCCTCAGACACCGTTCCTAACGGAAGCTCACGTCGCCGCCAACCACTATGGGCTAGAAAAGTACAACCCTAGGTCAAACTTCTGACATCGTACAGGGAGCGGTCACGTCTCAGCATGACCCGTCTCCACGACATGTCGTTACAGGGGACTCACATCGACCCACAGTGATGGACGCATGGTCACTATGCTGCCTACTCCCTGTACGATCGCTGATCAGCATACTAGTTCGTCGGTCCGACGCCTGGGTCCGCGTTCTATCGCACTCCACCCCTTGGCTGCGTCCGGCGCCTGGGTCCATGCTCCGTCGCGCCCGACGGCGACTCATGATCTTACACCCACCCGTTGCTCTCGTACAAACAAGTATAAACAGCCCCTTCACGACTTCGTAGAAGTCCCAAAAGGGCTCAGGGGCTCCTGTCGGGTTCATAAACCCAAGATCCCCAATGGGCCCGCTTCACAACAAAAGCTCGGCCCAGCAGACAGCATTACAACAACGCGTGACTCCTGGGCCGGCCCAGATACCTAACGACAGGCCAGAAGAGCGATGCAGTCTCCGACCGAAAGGCCTGGCCAATAAGGGGACGACGCTCGCTTCCGACTCCGACCCGCTTTTTCGATCGGGAATACACCGAACCTCTACTTACAGCTCTTCTCCGACCGACACGGTCGGAGCCGACTGGGAACGACCAACCGAAAACGCCCGCTCGGTAAGGACCTAAGAATCAGGCGGAGCAGATAAGGCAAGACGCTCAAGTCAACCGTAATACCGAGGACCGTACCCTACACACCTGCAGGACAATACCGCCAGGCCATGTCAGAAGGGTGCTTTATAACCTTTCAGGCATGTCAGAACCCAAACAGTGTTGTAGGCGTTGACATTTGCCTTACAGTGTTGTGGGCGCCGCCATTTGCCATACCAGGCGAACATGGTAAAGCCTGCCACATGCGTCTGACATAAAACAGTATTGTGGGCTCCAACGACCGTCTTGTACCCGACAACGTGGACAATAAGACTTAGTAGCATACGTGCACACCCTCTTTCTCTCTCTCTCACTAGTAAGGCTATCATCTTCACATATAAAAGGGGATGCGCTCTCTCCCAACAATAAAAATGTCATTCCGACTCTCTCTGCTAAGCTTTAGACATTCTGAGCACTCGAATAGCTCCACAGCTCTAGAACTCTAAAGCTACACAGAGCATACGTTTCAATACTTAGCTCACGTTGGAGCTTCCGTCACTCTTGGCCCTTCGGTTCAGAGCTCGACCGGACCTTTAACACATCCCTTCTTATTCCCACTCGTTTATAATCCCACATCAAACTTGCAGCACCCGGGCTCAGGAATAAAGTCACCGATCGACTGGAACTAGACATAGGGCATGTTGCCCGAACCAGTATAAACCCTGTGCCATTGAGTGTTAGGCCACATCCGATCACAACGTACAGTAAAACTACAAATATTTACTTATCGGTCACTTTTCGCACCGAAAAAGATAATTACAATTAGGTTGTCTTAGGCCTTGTTCATATAGGTGCGCTTATTTTAAGAAAAAATTAAACTCTATAAATACACTTAGGGCTCGTTCGTTTTGCATCATTCCTGTCAGGATCGATTCCTGGTGGAGGCTGTCCTATACAAATTGTAGAAACGTTCCGGCCAGGAACGATTCCAGGAGGTCAATCCCCCGGAACCGAACAGGCCCTTACTGTGGACGGAGGCAGTACTCCGTACTCGGTTAGTTAAATTTTCGGGATCCTGAATGCCTACCCGCCACGAATTCGCTCCAAATCTTGCTCATCTCCTGCGAATTTTGCCCGGACAGGTTTGAAGTGTTGGATTCGCGAGGGACTAGTGGGCCCGACAATCTGAACAGCCGAGCCGAGCCGCAACAAGCGGCGCTGATGGCCTACGGGATTTGACAAGGACCAGCCCTCCGTCCGCTGTGGCAGTGGTAGGGGTGTTTGGTTCTTTTTTTATGTTAAATCGAAGGTTTAGATCATAATAAAAAACATTAAATATAGATTAATTATAAAAAACCAATTACATAAATAAAGGTTAATTTACGAGACGATTTTTTAAGCCTAATTAATCTATTATTAGCAAATGTTACTGTAGCACCACGTTGTCAAATCATGAACTAATTAGACTTAAAATATTCGTCTCTCAAATTAGTCGCAAGTTGTGTAATTAATTTTATAATTAGTCTATATTTAATACTTTATACATATGCTAAATATTCGATATGACTGGAATTTTAGGAGCGCGTGAACAAACCAACAGGACCGTAGCCCCTCAGGACGTTGCGATTTGTTTTGTTTGTCAGTTCCTGGCCTGCTACCAGCCAACCCTGCAGGGCGCAGGGTGCACGTGCATGGCCCACCGCCACAACACACTGGATCTCAAATTATTCCCTCCCTCCACATGCTAGTGTATCATCATCCACCTCATCCTGCGCCTGCGCGCGCGTCTTTTTCTACGTTCAATTCAAAGTTCAACTCGGCAATGATTCGCGCAAGATTAAGCCGCAGCTTTTCGGGGGTATGTTCTTTCAATTTTTATTTCTTTTGGTATACACTTATAAAAAAGGAAAACATCATAGCATAGAGGCTTCTGCGGAAATAAGACGAACATGAATGACAACAAAAAATGAGAGGACGCATCTTTTCGCAACGGACAAAATCGTTTGCAAATTACACCCGATTTTTCACGGATTCCCATTCTAGATTCATTTCGTAGGATCATTCTTTTTTTTTATCTTGGAGAGAAGCATATTCGTATCGATAGAATAGACATTTGCCTTGCGTTTTTTAAGTGTTGTATATATTCTTTTATTTCGAAGAGAAGAGAGTGAGGGTACAATATATCTCCAAATTAAACTTGCAAAATATGAAATAAATATATAATATTCTATTCAAATTCTTTCATCGTCTTTTTTTTATTAGTTTTTCACGAGTAGGACAGAGCCTTATTGAACACTAAAACTAAAATGCAGTCCTTATAATGAATGCAAAGATAAACCACAAAAACAGTGTACATGCCTCAAGGTCTAACGTTCTGGAATAAGTTCAAAACACATATGAAATGATGAGACAGTATCCGTGGTTGCATTACATAGGCTGCATATTCTTCATCACCTCCAACCCTTTGAGTCGTCATGTATGCCTCTTCACTGTCATCGATGATGAGATCGATTACCAGGAGTTACTGTCCTCATTGGGATTGTTCAAGAGCACCCCTTCCTCTTGCAGATAATGCAAATCGGCCTCCTGTCGATGAAATCAACGTCTGCAATGGTAACCTCGTCGTGGCAACCACCAAAGTCATCGCAGGTAGGAAGATCTCAACAAAAAATCATCTGATTTCATCGATACATTTGTTTGGGCTAAACCCTAAGAAAAATAGATCTAGAAAATTATTGTAAAAGAGATATGGGTCTTCTATCATCTTGCCATCGACAGAGGCAACGGAGAGGAAGAAGTAGAGGACCCCTAGATGATGGCAACAATGGTCGACGGCTGTATATATAGTCTATAAGGGTTGCAACAAAATGTCTAAGTGTCCTAGAATGGATGAACAATGATGATAGTGACTAGAACCTTAGTATTTAAGAGTGGCTGCGTTGAGAACCTTCAACAACAAAATACGTATATCACATCAATCGTTAGATTCAATCCGTCGAGACATCATCACTACATCTGGCGAGACATCAAACCATGTAATTAATGCTACAATGAGCCTGTTTTGTAAACTTCGGGAAGGGATTTGATGTATTAATTTTCTTACCCCCTTACATTTTGTAATCTCTATCCACTCTAATGAAGCGGCATGACACATGGCATGATTTTGCTAAAAAAATAGAGATAGACATTGAAGCATATTATTTTTTACCTATATCTCTGTGGCTTGCTTGCGGCTTGGCTGTTCGTATTCTTTACCTATATCTCTATTGCTCTTGTTGCTTGCGGCTTAGCCGTTCACACAAGTAAAGCGGTGGCTTCTTATTGCATCAATAGTTTCATTTGCTTACAAGTTTAGGAATCACTTCTAATAATTTCTAATAATAATGAAATAGTATAGCATGTTCCATGATTTGCTCCAAAAGTGTCACAACCATCAAGCATACTCTCCTTTTCTCTAAATCATCCGCAGTCCATTGTTTACGGCGTCTGTATCTATAAAATGACGGCTTCCTACTATACAAACAGATATCATCTAATGTCATTGTAGAAAATGGTTCTGATATGGTATTATTTTGTAAAAAAATATTTTAGAGAAAGTTTGTAAAAAGTGGCAATTTCTTCTTACTTTTTTTGTTTATTATCACTTTTTTTTGACAAAGTGTTTATTATCACTTTTTTTGGCCTCTCATCTAAGTATATCGGTAGTATCTGTTCGGATACAAACACACATCACCACATACACGTACACCTTACACACGCACAGTATACGAAAAAACCTATAACTATACTAAACAACCAATGCAGCTGAGAGATACTCGAAAATCACCAGACTCCGAGCGTGCTAGGAACGTTACTTCACCATTATGGCGTATCCACACGAGAACGCTTGGCGGCAGGGAGCCAGCCATATCATCTTTTCCTTCACCTCTTCGATTCCTTCCCAACCAAACCCCCTCAAACCTCAGTTCAAAAAAAAAAACATCTTTCTCTCAGTCTCAGTCTCTCTCCTCCCCTTTGGGTCGCCACTCGCCAGCAATCCACACGAAAGCAAGAAGCCGCTTCCAGCAAGAGGAGAGGAGAGAGAGAGAGAGAGAGGGGAGGGAGGGCCCGAGAAGGAGGCTCCAGGGGCCCTGCATTGCGTCGGGCTCGGGCGCCGTCGATTGGGCCGCCGGGATGGATCACGGCGACGGCGAGGGCCGCGTCGTGGCGGCGGCGAGCCTCGCGGCGGCGCGGCGCACGCTGCGTGCCGGCGTGGACAAGTCGCGCGCGCTGGGACACGCGCTGGCCCGCGCGGGGCCACGCCTGGAGGAGATCCAGGCGGCGCTGCCGGCGCTGGAGGCCGCGGTGCGCCCGATGCGCGCGCCGCGAGCCGAGCTCGCCGCCGCCGGGCCCCACATCGACCGCGCCGTGGGCCCCGCCGCCGCCGTGCTCAAGGTGTTCGACGCCGTGCACGGCCTCGAGCCTCCGCTGCTGGCGCCTGGCACGGCCGGGGACCTGCCGGGGTACCTCGCCGTCCTGGCGCAGCTCGAGGAGGCGCACAGGTTCCTCGCCGACAACTGCGGGCTCGCCGCGCAGTGGCTCGCCGACATTGTCGAGTACCTCGGCGACCGCGACCTCGCCGACCCGCGCTTCCTCGCCGACCTCGGGGTCACGCTCGACGAGCTCAGGACACCCCCCGCCGGCGACCTCGACGGCGGGCTCCTCGCCGCCGCACTCGGTATCCTCGAGGCCGAGTTCCGCCGCCTCCTCGCCGACCACTCCGCGCCGCTCGCGCCGCTCGCGATGCCGCAGCCCGGCGCCGCCGCTGGCTCGGCCGCGCCGTCCCGCGTGCCTGCCGCCGCCGTCCACAAGCTCACCCTCATTCTCGATCGCCTCGTGGCCAACGGCAGGCAAGACCGCTGCATGGCCGCTTATATCGATGCGCGAGGGGGTGTGGTCAGTGCCAGTCTTCGCGCCCTCGGCCTCGACTACCTCCGCGACCCGTCTCAGGACGCGCAGGCATTGGGACCTGCTCTTGAGTCGTGGGGGCGGCATTTAGAGTTTGTGGTGCGCCGTCTCCTCGAGTCGGAGCGGCAGCTCTGTGCCAAGGTGTTTGGGCAGCATAAGGGTGCCGCGTCCGCGTGCTTTGCAGAGGTGGCGGCACAAACCAGGGTTCTTGAATTCTTGAGGTTTGGCCGTGCAGTTGCTGATGCCAAGAAGGATCCCATCAAGCTCCAGCGTCTGCTGGAGGTGTTTGATTCTTTGAATAAGCTGAGGCTGGACTTCAATAGGTTGTTCGGTGGCAAAGCGTGTGCGGAGATTCAGAGCCAGACAAGGGACCTAGTCAAGTTGTTGATAGATGGTGCTGTCGAGATCTTTGAGGAGTTGATTGTGCAGGTGGAGCTGCAGCGGCACATGCCTCCCCCAGTTGATGGGGGCGTGCCGCGCTTAGTTGCCTTTGTCGTCGAGTACTGCAACCGACTGCTTGGTGAGCAATACAGGCCTGTAATTGGGCAGGTGCTAACTATCCATCGCAGCTGGCGCAAAGAGGTGTTCAATGACAGGATGCTTGTTGACGCGGTGCTAAACATTGTCAAGGCCCTTGAAGCTAACTTTGATGTTTGGTCAAAGGCATATGACAATGCTACGCTGTCGTATCTCTTTATGATGAATACCCATTGGCATTTCTTTAGGCATCTGAAGGCTACTAAGCTAGGAGAGGTCTTGGGTGATGTGTGGCTGCGAGAGCATGAACAATACAAGGAATACTACTTGTCAATGTTCATCAGGGAGAGCTGGGGAGCACTTTCGCCGCTACTGAACCGGGAGGGATTAATATTGTTCTCCAAGGGCCGGGCCACGGCAAGGGACCTGGTGAAGCAGCGCCTCAAAACATTCAATTCGAGCTTTGATGAGATGCATTGCAGGCAATCGTCGTGGGTTATACCAGACAAGGATTTGCGGGAGAGGACATGTAATCTTGTGGTGCAGACTATTGTTCCTACCTACCGGAGCTACATGCAGAATTATGGGCCACTTGTGGAGCAAGAGGGAAATGCCAGCAAGTATGTAAGGTACACTGTCGATGGTTTGGAGAAGATGCTCAGTGCCCTCTACATGCCCCGGCCCAGGAGGGCTGTGAGCTTCCAGATCAAGCACTCGAGTGGCAATATTGCCAGTGCAATGACTGGGTTGCATCGGAGTGCTTCTGCAGTGAAATAGCCTCCGTTGAAGAACCCAAAGATTGGATCAATATGATGCAATATCCGGTATGTGGCAAATGATTCATTTGACCCAGTCGGCAAAGAGTCCCGCACTGGATAGGTGACCCAATAATGGACCCATAGTCGGAGCAGTGGTGTCATATGAACATAAGTTACTCTTTAGTTAGCATGGAGAATAGAGGGTGGTGATCATTTCTGTAGCTCCTATTTGAGATGTTACATCCTCCTGAGCTATCTTCTCTTCTTTTGTACTTCTGTTAGTGACCCTGGCACCATATCATTCATTTGGAGATATTTAATCAGCTGTGTAGCTATGTAAAATTGGTTGTATTTTAGGTGACCTGTGGGCATTACCTTTCCACGTACCAAAAATTGAGCTCAATATATGCAATGGATTATATGGGAAAAAACTAGACCCTGGATTTTTCAGTGAGGATTTGCTATTTGTTTGGTAAACTAGAGCAGATATATACCCCAATATAATTGCATTACATTTACACAAAGTACAGCTTGATCATAACCAACGCTGTTGCATTTCTTCTTCTTTTTTCTCATCAGTTCACAATATGGCAGTCCCTGGATCTGTCAGTGAGGATGTGCTATTTGTTTGGTAAACTGGAACAGATATATACCCCAATATACAATTGCACTACTACATGTAAATAAAGAATAATTTGATCATAACAAATTTGTTTGCATATATTTTTATTTTTTTCCCCTTCAGTTCACAATATGGTTAAAAAAAGATTACAGAACAGGTAACTCTTGCATGATCCCTTTTGTTTAGACCCAAAACTGACTTGTTCCCATCCCCGTCAGTTCAAGGTTGTCAGGCTGAGACCAGCCGTAAGTGGAGCTGACATCCAATCTATTGGGTACTTGATCTGGAACAGTTTTTCTTCATACTGCATGCAATTCAGTTCAGTGAGTCATTGGCTAATGATGTTTATCTTGTGCATTGATGCAGGATGAATTGAAGGAATCTGAAATCTTGGACACTGCACTGTTGGGCATTCAGGAGTAATATAAGCATCTGAAATCTGTTTGGAGATTTTTGTTTGTTTATTCCCCCTTGCACTAAGATTTCCTTGGAGCCATTTTTGTTCAGTCTGAAAAGGGCTCAATGGGCCGCAGAAAGTTTGGGCCGCAAACAGACATTGCAGTTACAGGCGCTTTGATGTGACTGTTAATTTCTGAGAGCGAATAGATCTCGGGAAATTGTGATAGATTGATATGGAGTGCGAGGAGTACATTATATAGGCAAGAATCAGGAAGGGTTTATAGAAACGCCCAATCAACGGCGATCCTTGCCTAATCAATAATCATCTACCATAATCCCTAGAGGCGGCCCGGCCGATGAAGGCAGGGGCGCCGAGCCCATGACCAGCCCATAGGCGCCTATTCTAACACGCCCCCGCAGTCGAATCGTTAGCCACTCTGTACGTTTAGACTCGACCTGAACTCCGTGAACACTGAAGAAGGCAGCCCTTTGGTGAAGATATCCGCATATTGTGAAGAAGTGGGAACATGCAGAACACGAAGATCACCAATGGCGACTCGCTCCCGGACGAAGTGAAGATCAATCTCAATGTGCTTGGTTCGCTGATGCTGTATCGGGTTGAAGGTCATGTAGACGGCACTGATGTTGTCGCAATACACCAGTGTGGTGCGCCGGAGAGGGGCATGCAGCTCTAGAAGAAGCTGGCGCAGCCAGGTGGCCTCAGCAACTCCATTGGCCACCGCGCGATACTCGGCTTCAGCACTGGATCTTGACACCGTGTTCTGGCGCTTGGAGGAATAGGAGACAAGATTGTCGCCAAGAAACACAGCATAGCCCGAGGTGGACTTGCGGGTGTCTGGACAACCAGCCCAATCAGCGTCGGTGTAGACGACAAGATCAGCCGAAGTACACGGTCGCAGCAGGAGGCCAAGGTGGAGAGTGCCTCGAACATAGCGCAGAATCCGCTTCAGAGCTACAAGGTGAGGCTCACGAGGGTCGTGCATATGAAGACAGACTTGCTGCACAACATATGCAATATTCGGCCGGGTGAACGTTAGGTACTATAAGGCTCCAGCGAGGCTGCGAAAGTCTAAAGGGTCAAAGACAGGGGTGCCATCTGCTGCAGTAATCTTCGGATTGGTGTCAACTGGAGTGGAACACGGCTTACACTCTGCCATCTCGGCGCGATCAAGAATGTCCAGCATATATTGTCGCTGAGAAAGAAGAAGGCCATCACCATCTATTTGAACATGCATACCGAAGAAATGTCTGATTCACCAAGGTCCTTCATAGCGAACTCCATTTGAAGAAATTTGAGATGATCCTTGAAGGAGGCCAGTGGAGGAGGCTGTGAGGACGATGTCATCAACATAGAGCAACAGGTAGGCTGTGTCTGATCCACGCTGGTAAACAAAGAGCGAGGTGTCTGACTTGGCTTCAGCAAACCCAAGGGACATCAAGTGTGTGGCCATGCGACTGTACCAAGCACGAGGGGCCTGCTTGAGGCCATATAGTGACTTCTTCAGGTGACAAACATAGTCTGGATGAGCTAGATCTTCAAACCCAGACAGCTGCTGACAATAAACTGTCTCTGTCAGGTTGCCATGAAGAAAGGCGTTCTTCACATCAAGCTGGTGGATGGGCCAGCGACGAGAGAGAGCCAGGGAGAGCACCGTGTGAATAGTAGCAGGCTTCACCACGGGACTGAATGTCTCATCAAAGTCCACACCAGGCCGCTGGGTAAAGCCGTGGAGAACCAGTAGCGCCTACTTTGTGCCTTCGAGGAGCCATCGGTGAAATTTGTGCTTAAAGATCCACTTGCGGTGTGCGACGTTGGCCCGAGGGGGTCGAGGCATGAGATCCCAAGTGTGATTCTTGATGAGACAATTGTGTTCCTCTTCCATTGTAGCTCGCCACATGGGTCGGCAAGAGCGCTTCTGGAAGGTCTTTGATATCGGTGACATAGGCGTGGCGTGGTATCGCGAGCATCCGAAAGCGCTCTTGAACGTGTGCCCATGGCGTGCTGGTTGGTCACAGGAGGAACAACAACAGCCCCTTTGGGCAGTGAGAGCGGTGCGGATGGGTGCGGCAGCTTAAATGGTGGCTGGTGCGAGTGCTGGCCGGCGGCGATGTGAGGAAGCGATTGGAGCAGGCGTGGTCGAGGCCGAGTGGCGCGTGTAGTGGTAGGCGGCGCTGATCGGATGAAGAGGCGGGAACACAGGCAAGGGGCCATGGGGTGCCCGAGGAGGTGGTGACACACCGGGCTGTGGAGCCCATGGTCGGTCTTGGGGCTCATGAGCTCATGTAAGCGTTAGTGGGATGTCTGGTGGCGAGGTGGGCGCCTCCAGTAGTGTTAGGCGCGTCTGAGCAGCGCATGGCGTGGGAGGGTCCACGGTGTCCATGACATAGGCGGGATGTAAGCCTTAGCGGGCGGAGGGGATCAGCAGCAGCCACCGGAGGTGTCAGGGGAACCCCAAGCATAGTCTCAGAGGGACCGGCAGGGGCACTGGTGACGTCAGAGGTGCTGGATGGTGTTCCTGCAGACAAAGACTTGTGCAACAGTCCAATAGGAGCGGGCACAACATCAGTAGCATCAAGAAAATCAAAGTCCACCGGAATACTAGGACCATTGCGCTCAGCAAAGGGGAAGGTTGTTTCATCGAAGATGATGTGCCAGGAGATGATAACTCTATTGGTGGAGAGGTCAAGGCAGCGGTATCCTTTGTGGTGAGCGGAATAGCCTAGGAAGACGCACAAGGCAGACCTAGGAGCGAGTTTATGAGGAGCGGTGGCGGACAGGTTTGGATAACACTTGCAGCCAAAGACTTGTAGGTGATCATACGCCGACGGCGTGCCGTACAGGCAAGGTGGGGCGTGGAGAACTGTAGAGTCTTGGTGGGCAGTATGTTAAGCAGAAGGGTCGCTGTGGAGAGGGCCTCCGCCCAGTAGGAGGGAGGCATAGACGCCTGAAAGAGCAGTGAGCGAATGACATTATTGATGGAGCAAATAATGCGTTCGGCTTTACCATTTTGAGGCGAGGTGTAGGGGCAGGACATACGAAGATGGATGCCCTGGGTGAGGAAGAACTGACGGGTGCTAGAGTTGTCAAACTCTTTCCCGTTGTCGCACTGGACAACCTTGACGTGGGCGCCAAATTGGGTGGAGGCGTGGGCGATGAAGTGGGCAACCGTGCTATAAGTGTCAGATTTGAATCACAAAAGAAAAGTCCACAAGTAGTGAGTGCAATCATCAAGTATGACCAAATAGTATTTGTAACCAGAAACACTAATAACTGGAGATGTCCACAAGTCACAATGAATAAGATCAAACTTGCTAGACGCACGAGAGGTGGACGAATGAAAGGGTAGACGAACATGACGCCCTAACTGACAAGCGTGACATAGATACGAAGCGATCCACGAATATGACAGGAAGCGATGAAGCGCAAGCTTCGACAACGCCTCATGACCGGGGTGACCGAGACGTCGATGCCATAGTGGGGAGGGAGCCTTGGCGACAAAGGAGTGTGCTGGAGGTAGGCGCAGTGGATATAGCGGCCCGGAGCTATTGCACCCGACGATCTAGGTCCGAGATGGAAGAACCTTCACAGAACAACCAGCAGGGTCAAACTCAACAGAACAGTTGTTGACGATAGTGAATTGGCTCACAGAGATGAGATTCTTAATAAGTTGTGGCGACACAAGAACATTATTAAGACGTAAAGTAGGGGACAACTCTGTGGAGCCAGTGGCAGTAACAGGAAGCATGGAACCATTACCGATAACAATAGATGAAGGAGTAGGATACCGCGGGAATAAAACATGTGAAAGGGAGGAAGACTAAGATGCCATATGTGAAGTAGCACCTGTGTTGAAGTACCACTCGTTGGACGAAGGAGGGGTCAACGATGTCATGCTAAAGGCGGAGGCAAGGGCCGTCTAGTCCCAAGAAGGGAGGCCGGCCATAGGATTGTAGTACCCAGGCGACCCTTGTCACAG